GGGATCAAACGAAAATGCATTTCAAGATCCCCAGCTAATGAGATCGTGGAGCGATAATAATAAGTCAATATTGGAACTACCAGCAGTAAGTACTGTGACAATAGCAATACAACTTTACCTGTCCAGGCCGTCAATCAAACTACTCGGACCATTAACAAGCACAGAAAGTAGGGGCACCTACACCTGGTCTTTGTTGTGACGTTTGGTAATGATACCGTCTGAGATTTTTGGGCAGGAGATAGCCTTGCCTTATACATGAGGAGCTCAGTCATTTCACATGATTAAGCCATATTTTCCAAGACTTTGCTAATTCACTAATGAGTACTAGCCGGTTGGCTATAGGCTGCTAATGGATTTCAGCTACAAACATTTATCATATTACAAATACTCGTGTAATTTCATTCCATGTCGTGTTTCCCAAGTCCTTGGCGCTAGTATCCCCGCTTGAAGAACTCATCTCCTATCCCACCCAGAATATGTTGGACTCCGGCCATATCCGCTGCCTGGGTAAGACGCCAGTCGCTAACAACTCGTTACCATTGTTTATAACTGCGTACTGTGCTTGAAATCAAGAGAAATATACCGGTAAAACACGCAATTACAATTAGGGGGCCCACACTCTGCCACATCGTCGGTCGTTACTTGTCCATCGCCTGTACAAGAAGTACGGTGTATGTGTATGCAAGATCTGAGTCGACCTGCTGTATCGCATCGGAGTCCATAGGTGTTGGCGAGCATATTCGGTTCACCTAGGGGAGTTGTGATGCCCGCAATGGAGGCGAGAAATGCCATCAGGATGATGGTAGACTATATTATATGAGTTGGGTTGTAACAATCTGGCATCGGCTATTGAGAAATCCATTATACTTACCGTCATGATGTGTAGAGGGTAAAACAATCGGCCACGAGTAGAGTCCGGAAGGGCGTAGGAGATCACGTCGCTCGATGAAGAAAAAGCTGTTACTACATTTCCGTCAGTCCATGTGGTCGTAGTGGCCTATGAGTCTTCTAATATAGTACATGGTATTTGTACTAAAATGACTCAACTTTATTTTCATTTGGGAATGGAGGCCGTAAATCCGCAGTCAGATGAGAGGCGTTCTAACAATACATCTTACCGGGGTCTGTGTAAGGGCTATTAGTAGATAGAGTGCGATACATACTTAGTTTAGTAGATTATGACTGTATCTATGACAATTAGAAGCAGGAGAATTAGTCAATATGCTAGAGAACAGATGAATATACATATATGTGAAAGAAGGGATGTACCAGTCCACCCCTCCAACAACTACTACCACACACGGCGAACAATCGCGGGTATTGCGAGGGCCATTGAGAGTAAATTACTCTTGTAGATCTTTACGGGTAGCTACTCTCCCCTCAGTAAGACACAAGTTTAGAAGCTTGCAAAAATTGTAATTATTACGTCCTTGACAACCATAGAAACATAGTACCATGAAACATAGAAAGGGATATTAGTGAGTGATAGGGGGAAAATATTTACATGATGGGATGCACGAAGTACAAAAAGCTAGGTAGCTATCGTCGTATACGGATCCGAATCCAACACTCGAACTGCGGATCCAAGATGCAAGGCAACCAGGGTATTGGCAAGAAGTTGGCAAGAGAACTCAAACATCAATATTCCTAGCACAAAATAAGTGCCCCAAGCATATGGCCTGCTGCGAGATCATCAGAGCCCATAAGGACATCTGGCAGAGATGCAAGAGGATGGGGTAGCCAGAAGACAGCTGTTCCATGAAGCTACACCGTGCAGTCCGACGTCATAGTACATCCGGCACGGAAGGGGGTCAAGGTTTTCTGCTGTAATACTATATCACGCCGCAAAGAGCCTACCACGCCTGAGTATCAATAGGGGGTTTACGAAGCACCACCCTCGCGGGTCGTACCGATGCTGAATAGAGAGCTCCATTGCCTGGGATGTAGTCTAGTATACATTTGTAATGGTACCAGTCGTTAAATTCGCATCGGGGGGGTTTTGTTTTTAGCGAGGTATGGTGTTGTTTGCTTCAAGTCGGCCACATCTCGCCGGCGTGTCCGTGGATTATGTGGTAACGCCTTCGATTTCCTAGCTTACGGCCGGGTACGGCGCTTCTTATCCTGTTCCTCAGGGGTATCACGGCAAAGAAGGAGCCGCAGCATTGTATCTCCATCATAGTGCACGGGTTGGGGTTGTCATATTTGAAGAAGTAAAGGACCAGCTGGAGAGTCCTGCTGGTCAACGATACAGGTTCTATTACCGTAGTTGGCAAAAAGCATCAGCAGTATGAGTCTTAATAAGCTAGAATTCTATTATCGGGCAAAAGGCATTCAGCAAAGCGATCAAATTTATCCCCTGAAGTGTCATGGGTCATGTACTTGACGTAGGTCCAAGACACTTGTTGTTGCACGGAGAGGCTCTTAAACTTTGTTTGTGAGGGCCGCGTGACTATGTACGGGACACTTCTTGTGACGTGGAAGTCAAGCGAGCCTCCGGTACATGGTCAATTCCCTGCTAGCAGGGCCTCTGGCCTCCTGCCTGTGCCTCCAATGGTATGTCAACTCGTAGCCGCCAGCACCGTAGCTATCTATCATGAACACAATCCTGACGTATTCCTGAAACCATTTGTACACCCACCTCAAACAGTAGCTTACATCACCCCAACGTTCTTTTGCCACCAGTCCTTCCAATTCACCGTCCTTTTCTCCCGCCTGGCCTCCTCGGCGGCGAAGACCATGGCGTGGCTCCGAATGATCTCCTCCAGGCTGCATCCAATGAACACACGCTGGGCCTCGGCCGCCGCCCATCCGCCGTTCTTGACCCTGTCCACGGCGAGGATGAACTGGCGCGTGAGGCCGTGGTCGCCGCCGCCGTGACCGAGGCTCTCCAGCTGGGGCTTGTACGTCCTGGTCTCCCCGGTGCGGAAGTCCTCGATGGCGATGGTCTTGGAGTCGGCGTAGACCTCACCCTCGGTGCCGTAGACGTGGGTGAAGCGCTGGCACTGCTTCTTAGTCTGCGCCACCATGTGGAACGTGGCTTGCTTGGCCCCCCGCGAGCCCATGGCGTCCCCCGCCGCGGAGGCGGAACCGGGGAGTGGGTCGTCGTCCCAGGTCAGGACCACGACCTGTTCGTCACAAACGTCGTTGTCCGATTCGAACACGCATCGGCCGAACCAGTTCTGTCCGTCGACGACCTCCTGCGGCGTCGAGCCGTCGTAGTCCTCGGCGAGCTTGGACAGAATGGCCGCCCTCGCCCTGTCAATGTCGCCGCCGAAGCTCTCGATGTCCGGGAGGACGATGCTGATGGGCCACCTGACATTGCCGGTCTCGACGCCCATGTGCTTGGGGCTCACGTAGATCCGCTTGCTGGAGTACAGGCAGTCCGGCTCAGCGGGACAGCTCAGGCAGTTGGTTGCGCTGCCTGCCGCTTTTGGTTTTCTGCCCTTCCGGAAGAACTGCACCGAGCCGGTCGACGTGACGGATGTCGGGAGGTGCTCGGGCGCGTCCGACCCCGGCGCGGGGGAGCACATGAGCCACAAGAGCAGGTCAATGTCATGGCAGCTCTTGGTGAGCAGCGACGGGGCGGTGACCGACTCCCTCCGCCAATTGCCGCGCACGTAGCTGTGGGCGAAGTGCCAGAACCCCACGGGCTCCGTGTGGTGCACGCTGAGGATGTCGCCGATGACGCGGTCCTCGAGCAGCAGCGTCCGCAGCAGCATATTGTGGGGCGAGTAGCGCATGACGTGTCCGATGGAGAACACCTTGGACGCCTGGAGCGGCGCCAAGGAGCGGTAGATGCCGGTGCAGTCGGCGAGCGTGGTGGCGAGCGGCTTCTCGCACATGATGTGGAGGCCGAGCGGCGCGAGGGCCATGATGGCGTCGCGATGCAGCTCGTCGCGGACGCAGATGAAGACAGCGTCGACGCCCTCGGGCACGGCCTCCCCGGCGCGCTGCCGCTCGCGACGGCCGGCCTCCCACGCCGCGTACTCTTTCCAGCCCCGGAAGCTCGCGCCGGCGGGCGGCGTCGACTTGCCCGGCCAGATGAACTTGGCGCCGAAATCCTGGCGCTTGTAGTCGTCGGGCTCGGCGACTGCGGCGACGACGCCGTTGCTCGATTGCAGGGCGCATCTCGCGTAGGTGCGGCCGCGCGAGCCGGCGCCGATGACGAGCAGCCGCGGCGGGTCGGCGGACAGCGGGGGCGGCGTTGGCAGCCGGATCTCGACGCCGTCCAGCTTCTCCTCCAGGTCGGCCGGACCTTCGTCTTGCAGGTTGTGAGGCGCCATCGAACACGGATCGCAATGGCGGGATAGGAGAATGGGAAGGAAGATGCGAATGGGTAGCAGGATGTTACCGGCTGGCAGAGGCAATATTATCCGCGAAAACAGCACATCCACCCCTCGGGTTACATGGCTGTTGGAGGAGGGGTCTTTGTCTTTATGCTTCCTACATTTAGCAAAAAGCAAGCAATATCGAACGCCTATCTAGGCGGGATTGGCAGATCGCATCTACTTGCATCCAACTGTTGGTGTCCCCAAGGATCATGGTAGCAGGACTGGTACCAGTGAGTACTATGTGAAGAGGTAGGTATCAAGGTAGTCGGCGCCGCGCCGCTACTAACTGTTAGTCCTGGCTTAGCCTCCATGCGATGATTACTCGTTTTTACCAACTTGTCATACTCTATTGGACGCCCATTTGTGAAACAAGACAACCCCCCCCTCCCATGCATTCGTCATCGCCATTCCTATTCGATCAAGGGCAACGCAACGTAGTATCTACGTACCGTACATCGTGCGCCGGGAACTGATCGATCCCCGTCTTCCAAGGAACAGAAACCGGAGTACCGCCTAATCAACAGAGTAGATGTAACCAACGCCGACATGATCGGAAATAAAATGCCACTCCAATCACCTTTCACTCCCAGGGACTGAAAGCTAAAAGGGATCATCAGTAAAGGGACTAGAATAAGAAGAGCCCCCAATCCAAAAGACAAAAGGAAAGGATGGACCGGTAGGGATTTGAACCCTAGGCCTCTCGCATTTTCACAGGTGCTCCGAAGAGTATGCAAAGCGAGCGCTCTACCCCTGAGCTACAGGCCCAATCAGATCATGTAAGCCGATGCAGCTAATAATTCCTAAACCTGACAGGCTGGGGATACGCACCTTGCGTGCAGCCAAGACCGCCTAGACTGAAACCGTTAAGCCTTAAAAACGGGGCTCATCCCATCCGCTACTAAATCCGAGCCAAGACCTAGACGTCGTTTAAGGCACCCAACGTTAGTTACCTGTAGTAAGTTGTAGCTCCGATTCCTCATGGCAAATATCTTTCAAGGAGCAAGCTTATTATACGCATTCATGAAATCGTTAGGGTCTAGTTAGCTGATTTAATCTGACTTGGCGAGTTCTGGTAGCAAATGGCAGTGGCCGCCTGGACATTGAAATTTGGCAACCGTTGGTCTCAACAGGGCGATCCCCCCCAACGAAACTGTAAACTGACATAACAGCTTCTTCAATCCGCCATCATTGTTGATATAACAAGTGCCTTCAGTAGTAGTAGAGGACTGACTCTAGGAATTGGAAATGGAAATGGAATTATGGGTAACTACTTTCTTCGCCAGCCAGATTCTCACTGCTCAACCCAGACCGCGCAATACTGAAAGCATACTTTATACAGAATGGATCGGTTGTCCATCATGGCGCTTAAAATAGACAGTTGTTCGACAATGGGAAAATCGGTACTCGATCCATATCCAGGGTCCGGATTATTAAATTCACGGCTTATACGTCTCTACCTGTGCGGGAAGCCGCAATTTCTTTACGCCTTCGTTCCTCATTTCGACCACCCGCTGTGCGCTCGGGCGCTCCTCCAGCTTTTTATACCAAGCGTCATAGTGCGGATACTTGCCCTGTCCTAAATGTCAGCAAAGCTTTTCCTAAAACGCAACGCAACTACAGACAGCTCAAAGGGACCCGAATCTTTTTGAAAAAAAGAAAAAACTCACAGTTTCAATCGGAGAGCCGACCCTGTTCATTGTGAACTGGATGATCTGCTCCCAGATATACCAGCTGAGGTCTGCGACGGTGCACTTGTCGCCCACCAGCCAGACGTCCTTCTCCGCGACCCTCTCGCCCTGCTTCTCCCCGGCCTGGCGGGAGAGGTGCAGGTCCACCACCGAGCGCACGCGCTCCGCCTCCTTGAAGTAGCGCTCGACGGCCGAGGGGAGCTTCTCCGAGTGGAAGAAGGAGAACCACACGCCCTGTCCGTAGTACGGACCCTGGCCTATAGTGGTGGACTCGGGTCAGCCGGGAGCGGGGAAAATTACACGGTAACCGACAGGGCTGCTTTCACCCCCCCCTCCTCGCCTTCGTAAAACGGAATAAAAGAAACGAGAGAGAGGGAGGGGAAAAGAAAGGGGCGGGTGAAGGGGTGTGAGCTCACCAGATATCTGGTATCCGATCCACTGCTTGATCTGGTACTTCTCGGTGAAAGTGCCATAGGAGAGCTTGTGGTCCTTGTCGTACTGGTCGACGAGGTACTCGACGATGGGCCCCGACTCCCAGAGCGTGAGGCCGGTGTTGGGATCCTCGATGGCGGGCACGCGACCGTTGGGGTTGATCTTGAGGAACTCTTCCTTCTTCATATCGGGGAATTCGATCAATTTGTGATCGTACGGCACGCCCAGCTCCTCGAGGATCATCTGGATCTTGAGCGGGTTGGGGCCGATATCATGCCCCCAGAGAGTAATGGGCTTGAGGGACGCGTTGGACGACATTATGGTAGTAGATAGAAATATATATATATATGGAAGACCAAAAAAATCAAAAGGACAATAAAGTCGTGTGAAGGAAACGGCAGAGATGGAGATGGGAGAGAAGTCGGGGCAGAAGTGCTGGCCGGTCGAGTCCGGGATGGGCAGTTAATATCTACTTCGTGTTTCCTGCGTCTTCACGGCTACTGGATTTACGTATATCTCGAGCAGAAGGCAGGCCGAAGCCACGGTTGTTATACCCGTCCGCGGGCCGAAGCCGTGCAGGGCCTGTCGGTGGCATCATCCGCATATGGCTTAGGCTTGGCAGTACGGCTGACTGGCGTGACCCGGAAAACAGACGGCTAGCTCTCGTCAGGTTAACTCCTTGATAATTGTCATCTCGTTTCCGCCGGGGTAACACTACTTACCTCCTTGCTAAGCGCGGATAATAGTTCCGCCCGAATAGCACCGAAGTGTTTGCCCCGGCGCCGTCTTGAGATACTCTAGACGATCTCTGTAGCCATTTGCGTCTTCAGCCCCCGGCTTATACCCCATCATGCCTGCTTAGCCCCGTCGCTAAAGGTGACTCACGCATCGACTCCCGCCAATTCGCCGGAATTCGTTAGGAATGACTAATTCACCAGTGTGCTGACACGACTATCGTAGATGACAGCCCACAGCGACACAATCGGGTTACCGCTTTCCGACCGCCGGTTCCGATAATGCCGGCCGGGTTAGACGGGGGATTTCGGTGGGGTACGGTAATTTAAATCTACATAGGCCATAGCACTTTGCAGATGGCATTGAGATAGTGTATTGCCCCATGGTTCAGATATGATGCTCATCAGTTCTTTGTTCTCATCCAAAAGCAGGTACTAGATATATTCCCTAACAAGTATCGAGCATAGCCTCAAGTTGAGTACCCAGGTAAGGGTATATATCCATACAACAAATGTGCGCCTGGCCCAACCAATACAAATACCCTGTACATCATATCCCTATTCCAGATCCCGCTCCTCACCAACGTAAGCACGCCAATCCACACGTGATGCCCTATTTCCATCAAATCCATCGCCTTCCTTCCAGCCCAGATCATCCCAGGCCCCTAAGCCGCAAAGATGCCTCATAGTTGGCCGCCCGTGTGGGCAGTTCCACGGCTTATCGAGCTCGCCCATATGACGGACGAGTTTCTCCATCTGTTTAGAGGAAAGGGCTTTCCCAATCATGACGCTGCTACGGCAAGCCCGCATCGCGAACATCTTGCGAACTTTGGACGGCCTTGGAATTGTATTGGCTGACGTGGACTGGTGATCTTGGAGGAGCGAGATAAGCTCTTCCAGATCCGTGAGCGAGAAAGTCGTTTCCCGGCTCAGTGGCAAACTAAGCAATTGACACCGGGTCCCCACCGGTTCATCGCCGCTATCGTCGAAGCTGACTATAAAGCCATTCGATTCCAGGGCCTCTAGGTTATGTTGCACAATATCCTCTTCAATGGCTGTGAGCTCGAGCGTTTTGGGATGAACTAGTCTCTGAGACTGCACGACAGTACTAGCTTGTAGCCGTTCAAAATTGTACTTCTCGTCTGTAGCATGCTGATCAATGATGAACAGCTCATCGTCTTTGTCATATCCATCTGGCCTGTCTGCAGCTCTCTCCTCGGCTGGACGGGAGGCCAAGATGAATCCTAGATTAAACTGACCGATCACTTTCATCCTCTCAAAATCTGATTTGGATATAGTCAAGGATAGCTTCTCTTCAGCATCTTCGGCATCAAGTCGATCAGTTTCTAGCGTAGCCTTAGGGCCGGAAAAGGAGCGAGAGACTCGACCTTGTTGTAGGTCCAAGGCATCGCGGATGACTTTTGTGTCTACACGCAGGCTTTGTTGAAGATGATAGGTCGCCTCTTTCCTCTTAACACCGCCCCTCACAAAACTTTCGGTGCGTTTCTGCGACTCATCGGAGATTACATTTCCAGATAACTGGGTAACACCAGAATGTTCGCTAGCATGACTCTCATCTTTCGCTTCTTTGGAGTCTTCATCCCTGTAATCAGCATCATGATGATTGATCGGGGATGATGTGGCAGCTCCTGTATCCTCCTCACTATTTGCCTCATGTGCCTGCAAGTCTTGGGGAGAAGCGTGCTCATCGTTACCACTCCCACTCGGTATATCAGCCATGGATTCATTATCAGTTTCTCCACCGGAATCATCAGTGACGAACAACTGTTCGTTCGACGAATCTGAAGAGTGCATGTCGTCCTGAACCTCTGCGATGGGCTTGATTTCTCTCTTGTCAAATGAAGACTGTCGGTTCGCTTGTGAGGCAAACATCTGGGTCAACCGCCCATTGAAAGAAGGCATAGGTACCGCTGCTTTATCACCTTTTCGCGTACTTGAGTTTCGGCTTTGCTGTCTGTCAAGTCGTAGCTTTTTGGCTGGTGTGCCAATGATGCTCGTGACAGTATGATCACCGACCGTAATGGTGGCAATTTCCGGTGCTGCCCGTTTTGTCACTGATGAGGAATGAACTTTGTTGAAGTCGATACCCGTTGTACGAGTTGCAGGAGATAGGGCGGGAATTGGGGGCTCCGACGAAACGCTCTTGGATGCGTTCATAGCTTCGTCGGTACCCCTATCCTTCAACTCTTCTAGACGTGTCCGGAAATCCGCTACGCGATCAGAAACTTTAGATGACTCTCCATTTAGGTTTGACTCTTCTTGTGCAACGCCTGGCGCGAGTAGACATTGTGAGTCTTCTTTGGGCGCATGGTCCGCCTCGTCGACAACTTCGTCAGCTCTGCCCTTTTTCGCATTGGTACTTTCGCGTAGGTCGCAGTTTCGCCCAGCCCAGCGGCTAATTAGGCTGCTGCCTTGAGTAATGTCCGTACTTTCGTCATTGCCAACTTCCGTGTTCTCAATTTCCGCGTCTGGCTCCGCTTCTGTGAGTGCCGATGCTCTACGTGGGACAGCGTCAATTACGGCTGAGCCGGTGGATCCAATTTCCGAAGTTCGTGTGTCTTGTCTGCTTAGAGTGAGTTGTTTCGGCATGGATTTCTTTGATGCTTGAAGTTGTGAAGTTGGAAGTGCATAATCCTGTGATTCAAACAAGGCGCTGAGTGATTCCCTAAGGTTGTCGAGCATCCGAGTTTGCTCATGGAGCAGGATGGTTCGCTTATCCGGGCTGACATTGACATCATAGAGATGGGTGTCAAGCTGGATATCAGCAAAGATGAAAGGGGACTGAGAAGCATTATATGACTTGTACACTTCATTAAAAACCTTGGCGAATTGAGGCAATCCGCATGGACGGCCATTGACGAATAACATTTGTCTATCCGGGGTCTGCCGC